TGGACTTAGTGACTCACTTCTGATGAACAGAATATGGCAGAAGGGAGAGTGTGGGGCTAGAATATAAAAGAAATCATGGGGCTGGGTGTGTAGGTCAATGGTAGAGAATGTGGTTAGCATGCTCAAGGCCCTGGATTCAATCCCCAGCACCAAAAAATGGATAAGCAAAATAAAAGGAATCTAGGCTTGCTCCTCGCTCTTTCTTGGATCACTTGCCCTGTGGAAGTTAACTGGATGACCTGAGGACATGCAGCAGCCCCACCTCTCCCTGGGCACCCACATGGAGCTGAACTGAGGCCTCCTGCCAAGGGGCAGTGAGTGAGCCATTTTGGAAGGGGATTCTCCAGCCCCAGTGGAGCCTTAAGCTGACCGTAGCCTCAGATTACATCTTCACTGTGGCTTCACAAGAGACCTGAGCCAGAACCAGTTAAGGTGACAAGAAAAGGAAATTTACAGCAGAAGAAATAAACACTTGAGAAAATATTCAAAGTCAGGAGATATCAGTGCAAGTCTCATCAGTCACCTACCATATTGCTTACAATTTTGAAAACTCACGATGCCTAGCCTGTGGGGTGGGAGGTGGTGGATTCCTTGAGCACCTAGAGTATGAGTGGGCAAACTTCCTGGAAAGCATTTTATTTATTTATTTTTTTTCTGTTACCAGGAATCGAACTCAGGATCTTGTGCTTGGCAGGCAGGCATAGTGCCACTGAGTTAAATCTCTGGCTGGAAAGCATTTTTTAAAGCTCTGTGTTCTTATGCTATTTGAATTAGCAATGGAATCCAGCTATAGACACTAAAGAAATATGGGAGCACATGTATAAAAAACATATGCAGACTTTCCTTACAGCGATTTTCATAGACAAAAATAAGAAGAGCCTTAGAGTACTCTACCAGGGAGTGGTGAGACAGGTTTTGCCCTGTGTGTGCTGGGGAATCCCATGCAGCCACTGAAAAGGATGATGGGCTGGGCCTGGTGGACCATGTCTGTAATCCCATTATTTGGGAGGCTGAGGCAGAAGTATTGCTGTGAGTTCGAGGCCAGCCCAGGCTCCACAGCGAGTTTAATACCAGCCTGGACTACAAAGCAAGATCCTGTCTCAAAAAACCAAAACCAAACCAAAGCCAAAACCAAAACAAAAGGATGATGGGGATCTGTTCTCACTCAGTTTATTGTTAATCAGGGGCAGGGGAGTCAGGGTCAAGAAAGTATGTGTATGATGATATGGTGCTTGTTAATAAGACATACTTGGGTTCAAAAGCAAACTGTATAGGAAAAGAGACACCGAGATGTTAACTATAATCTCTGAGTGGTGCTTTTAAGGGTTTTCTGTTTATTTGTTTTGTGATACTGGAGATTGAACCCAGGGCCTTTGCACTGAGCTACATTCCCAGCCCTTAAAAATATTTTTAAAGGGGCCGGGGACTTAGCGCAGTGGTTCTGGCACCTGCCTCGCAAGTGCAAGGTCCTGAGTTTGATCCCCGGTACCAAAAAAATTAAAAAAAAATTTCAAACAGGGTCTTGCTGAGTTGCAAAATTGCCCAGAGCGGCCTCAAGTTTGCCATCCTCCTGCCTCAGCTTCTCCAAGTGCTGGAATTATAGGCATGCACCACCACACTGTTATTTGTTTGCTTTTAAACATGGCTTGTCTTGTCTTTCTAAAAATTGTTTACAATGAAAAAAAAAGACAGAAATGTGTACAATGAATATACTTGACTCTTGCACCGAAAAGAAAGTTGTTTTTTAAAGAGAGGAGAGGAGGGGCACTAAGTAGCTGCTGGGGGAAGTCAGTGCAGGTGAGGACAGGGGTCCTGAGAAGCCCGGGGGCAGGGCTGAGGCTGCCTGGGCGGGGGAGCCGGGTCCCAGTCCTGTTGAGACGGGTGGATAGTGGCCCTGTCCCAGAGAAAGAGAATAGACGGAGAAAGGCCCGCAGCCTGGTTCTTTGGCCACCTGGCCTTTGTCCCACGGCCTCAGCCCCACTTCCTGCCTCACCAAATTCAAACAGCCCACAGGGGACCCTGCAATGCCATGCCTAGCCCTAGCCCCGGCTTCACTTGTGGGTCCAAACCCTCCATATCTTTCAAGCAGATGCCTTGCTCTGCCTGCTGAGGAAGTTTCCTCCCCCAGTGCCTGCCCCCATCAAGGGCAGCCTCCGCACAGCCAGCGATGGCTGCTGTGGGGTTCACACTACACCTCAGTCACTGAGAAAGCACTCTTATCCTGGAAGCTTGGGGCTTTTGTCATCTCCCCAACCCTGGGTCCAGGCCAAAGCTCCCAAGGCCCAGACCAGCCCTGCACCCTGCCCATCCCCACCCGGGGGCAGGTGAACGTACCAGCAGCTAGCCTGTTTCAAGGTCCCATGCCCTCACTGTCTTGTCATAGGATGCTGCAATGATTCTGGAAATACAATGACAGCTGTGGGCCTTGAGCACAGAGACAATTAGGCCTGTGGTTTTTCTGACAACTATTTCTTCTTTTTTACAATTTAGGACCAAAATGCAAATAATATAAGAACCTTTCAAAAGATGCTCCGTGTGCCGCCCTGGCGAGCAGTGAATTCCCACTGAAAACAGAGATACCCTGGAGCTACCAGACATCACAGCACCGCACTGTCCTTACTCCTTCAGCCACCCGAAGATGCTCTTTTTTTGGTACCGGGAATTGAACTTAGGGCCTTGAGCTTGCCAGGCAGGTGCTGTGCCGCTGAGCTACATTCCCAGTCCAATAGTGTAGTATCTGCATACAGCCTATGCACATGTCCCATATTTTTAATTTAATTTTATTTAATTTTGGGGGTATCAGAATTGAACCTAGGGCCTCTCCCTTCGAAGATGTTCTTTTATATTTAGGACTTTAAAACCATCTGTTCTTCTCTTCCGTAATTTGCTATTTCTAAGAAGATCGTTACAGTTCGCAAGGACACTCCCTTCCCTCTCTGTTCACATCCGTTTTTTAACAGGAAAATGCTTTCAGAGACTGTGTGATGTTCAGAAATGTTTTCTTGTAAATTTAGCGAAATGTATAAATACTGTATACCTATATCTTATAGTGCATGTTTCTGTGGCAAAGTTTAGTCTCTATAAAATAAATTTCCATGAAACTTAAATCACATTCTAATTTCTTACTAGTATACTGGTTTTGGAGCTCCCCAAAGTGAAAACAAATCTATATTAAAGAAAATTTCTTTGTCTGTCAAAGGCCCGTCTCCTGTCTGTGTGAGTGGATTTAAGCAAAAGTGTCTGAGAGATCCTTCTCTCATGTCTTGTCTCTTCTCAGATGACAGCTCGGGCCTGCCCTGCTCCCCTGGGCCTCAGTTTCCCCTGAAAAATGAGGGCCTGGAGTATATGACTAAGGCCTCTTGTAGCTGCCATAGTGTATATGCAACTATGGAATAGATACTTCACAAAGAAAATTCAGACTATCTTTATATTAAGCACAACAATGTTCCCTTTAAGCACATAAAGCTTTCAAAGTGTTGCATCCATTTGATTTTCACAGGAAAAAAAAGTGGAAACCTTGAGATCAATATAGGGGAATACAGGGGCCGGGGATTTAGCTCAGTGGTTTCACCGCCTGCTGCGCAAGTGCAAGGAACCAAGTTCGATCCCCGGTACCAAAAAAAACCCCCGGGGAATACAGTTGTATATTTGCTTTAAAAAAACAACCAACCAACCAACCAAACAACAACCTACCAATGCTGTACCTGTGGACTCCATGTGGATTCTCATTTTTGCTGAGCCGTGTAAAACAAAGGAAATGTCACCTTCCGCTCTCAGCCACTGCACTCTAACACAGGAGCTTTGGGCCTTTGCTCAAAATCCCGAATCACAGATCCATTCTCAGCATCCTCAAATAATGGGAGAGAGCAGAGAGAATGGTCAGGGCTGTATTTGTAGGAGTTGTGAACTGAAGTCAGCAGCAGCCTTAGCCTGTCTACAGAAGAAAAGTTAGAAAACATCATGATCCCACGACTCTCCCTCATCCTCAAAGAGCCTTTCCAACACCTCCCCCAAGCAGGAAGAAGGACTGCACCATCCATGGGGAACTCCCCAACAGCTCCACAGGCAACAGATGGGCACTGGCCACTGGGAGCAGAGAGGCAAAGAGATCATTTTTCTCATTCTCTACTTTGCACGCCCCGCCCCGTTTCTCTGAAAACAAGACCTAACTAGAGATGAAAACTGCCAGCCCCTATCGGCTTATCCTTGCCTTACAATAGGCCGGAGCAAGGTGTGATCTGTGTGACATTGGCCATCACCATGCTAACAACCAGCTATTAATTCAGTGGAAATTTATTTTCTGGTTAGGTCTTATTTTCAGGGAAACACAGTAGCTATATCTTTCACTAACTTTTTAAAAAAAGTTTCACACTTTTGCGTCAGCAATTCTACTCTGAGGGGGCTGCTCCTAAGGAAACCGCCTGATTTGTGGTCAAAGACTTATACACATTGGGTTCCCCGGAACAATCTGGGTGTCCATCTAAAGAGGAAAAGTTAAACAAATTAGCATATCCCACAGAGGGCACCAGCAACTGCTAACGATCATGCTGAAGGTTAACAATGCAGAATGTGAGAGATCAAAGCAGGGTTACCAAAGCACAAGGGTGTCTGTGGCAGCAAAGAGAAAATAGTTTTACTAAGAAATGTGCCAACAGCTTTTCAGGACAAGCAGCTGGGGAGGGGGTGGCAAGTTGTTAGTAAGACAATGACTTACTAAAAAGATCTAGTGTTGTGATGTAAGACCATGGTGCAAGGGTGTGGCGACTTTTCAGCCTGACCAGGGCAGGTCGGTGACAAGACCCCCTGGATATGTAGAGACCACGCTGCATTAGGACCCCCAAGACCTTCTGGGAAGCAAGGGACCCCGTGTCAGGGGTCCCCAAGACCACATTACAGTCACATTCTCCTATAGTCACATTCACAGCTAAGGGTTATTTCGGTGAAAGTCCACAAAACCAAACTAGCAAAGAGAAGAGGCAAGGGCGAAGCCCAGAGGAAGACAGGCACGGGTGTCCGAGAGACTTCTCCCAGTGGAGAGGCTCAGAAGTGCTGAATTCCTCCAGCAACAAAATGCAACAACACATAGGAAGTGTTCTCTACCAAGAGGCTGTAGCTGAGCCTGAGTCCAGGGTTTTTGCTTTGAAGGGGAGGGGTGGGAAGTGCTGGGCACATAGGTACAGTACTCTCTGTCTGACATGTACCCAAATTCCAGACTTCCAAAAGAAACACAGTTTGCACAAACAATTGAGGCAGAGTGAGTCACTGGTTGTAGGGAACTGTTTACCGGTCCAGCCCTAGATGCAGGCCAAGGGCAGTTTTTCTAAGGCCAGCAGCCTGGGCCCGCTACATGAACACTTTCTGTGCAGACTCAGCCTCCATCCCTTGTTCCCTAAGACTTGAAACAATGGAGTTAGGTTTGAGGGATACCGGCAGGCCCTACTCAAAGCCCAGTGGAAGGAAAGGACAACAGGAGTCCCAAAGTGGACCTCCCCAGGGCAGGACCCATCTAGGCTGGTGGCCAGGGTTCCAGAGTCTAACGGCTTGGGAAGAATGGGCTGGTTCTGACAGCCTGGGACCGAGCCTCCTCTGCTGGTGTGCTGCTCTAGGAAAAAAACATGACTGTGAACAAAGACACCGATCACCTTGGGGCCTGGGATTGAGGCTCATGTAGTCTGGGCAGGGCCTTATGCCAACCAAGGGAGCAGAATGGATCAGAGTCCACAGGGCTGTGCAGGTTCAGCGTTCAATAGGGACGTGAAGTGGCCCAGAGAAGGAAAAGCAGCCATGGACAGAGAAGCCAGCTCCTTCTTCACTTGGCATTTTGGAAACAGGACAATTTAAGTGGTGAAGTTTTTAAGGATGGGGAGGTAGGCCCTCTAATTTAATAGTTAGAAAAACCAAGGAGATAACAATACGTGTAGCTCAAGTTTATTATGGTTACATATTCAGTATTTCTATATAGTTCCAATTTTGTAAATGTATGTATATGTGTATGTACATAAAAAAGATATCCTCCAACATTTTTGCAGCTGTTAACTCTAGGGTTGTGGAATGAGTTTTTCTTCTCTTGTGTTTTGATGCAGCACAGGGAGAGTGTGGAGAACTTTTGGGGTCTAGTGTGGGCCAGCTAAACTCTGGGGGAGCCCAAGTCCACAGCTGGCCCTGTAAGGCTGTGGGAGCTCAGGGAGGCCCAGGAGGTCATTCATGTGTCCACCCAGGGTCGTACAGCTGATGAGTCCTACATGTGGGGTCTGAACCAACTTGGAAGGTCCCCAAAGCCTCCTGTGGCACCCACAGGTGATAGATATTCCTCTAAGGTCATCTGTAGAGTCAAGGGCTGTTCTCTGCCCAACTACCCATAAGAGAAGCAGAAAACCAGCCTTGACTCACTCCATTCTATCTCCTTCTTGCCGCTGAAGCCAGAAGTCAGCAAAACTCAGAACTGACTATCCTTTCGCATGGACCACAGCCCCAGACACCCAGCCATCTTTGGCCTGCTCCCTGATGACCACTGCCCTCCTTCAGCCCTACTCCCTCATCATGCCCTCCTCACTGGCCAACAGTGCCCCCAAACAGCCCTGATAGGGTCTGCTGACCATGTTCATAAAGCTCTGGATGGCTCTAGGTATCCACTTTCCTGAGCATCACATCTTCATTCCTTGTGCCCCTGCCTCTTGCATCCTGGGGTACTGATTTGTACTTGGGCCTGCCTCTCTTAACCACCCCTTCTGGAAAAATCCCAGGCCTGGCCATTTTTCTGTCTTCTGTGATCACCCAGGCCTGGCCATAGAGTCTTTATGGATGGAACTGAGTGTTCCAGATGAGAAGGAGACCAAGAGAAGTGACAGCTCAGAGATCCCAGGTATAACCAAGGCACAACAGGGACCATCTCCAAAATAATTGGGGGGCTCTCAGTCCCCCACTTTTGCTCCTACCATGTTCATATCCACAGACAGGCCACAGCTACACTGACTTCTCTCTAATGGCTTAACATTAGGGTGGGCTCCTACTTCTTCCTTTTTTTTTTTTTGGTACCAGGGATCGAACTCGGGTCCTTGCACTTGCTCAGCAGGTGGCGAAACCACTGAGCTAAATCCCCGGGCCATATTTCTTATACTTTGTTCAGAAGGCCTTTATAAAGCTTGAGTTCCTTGAGTGTCAGAGAACTCAGTACTGGAGAACTCTCCACAAAAAATGCTTTTGAGATGTTTTAGTTTGAGGAGAATCTAACACCAAGCCACCTACCCACAGCTTCACGGTACAGTCATAGGAGCCACTGAGGAGCTTTGTGTCATTCACACAGAAGTGGCAGGAACTCACAACATACTCGTGCCCCTTCAGAATTTTAAATGGAATCTGAAAAAAAGGAGAGAACAAACAAGTTCAATGAGGTTGCAAGAAACAAGGTTGATATACAAAAATCAGTTGTATTTCTAAACACTTGACATGAATACGTGAAAATAATTAAGAAAAATCATTTCCATTTACAGAAGTATCTAAAAGAATATGTAAGAATGAATTGAACAAAGAAAGTATAAAACTTAAGTTTGAAAATTGCAAAATAAAGAAGACCTAAGTAAATGGAAAAACATCCCATGTTCATAGATAGGCAGACATAATTTTGTTAAAACAACAATACTTGTTCGATCCTGGTACCAAAAAAAACAAAAAACAACAAAAAACCCCAGTACTCTCCAAAATGATCTAAAGATTCAACACCATCTCATCAAGTTCCAAGCTGACTTCTCTGTAGAAATGACAGGACAATTATATGGAAATTCAAGATAACCTGAATCAATCTTTAAAAAGAACAACAAAGATGGAGGAATCACATGTCCTGATTTTGAAGTATCCTATCAAGCAACTAATCAAGACAGTACAATAATAGTGTAAAGATAGGACTATAAATCAATGAAATATAATTGATAATCCAGAGAGAAATACTTGTATTTATAGTCAACTGATTTTTTTTTTTTTAGTGGATCAACTGATTTTTATTGGCGTGCCAAGGCAAATAGGGAGACAATAGCTTTTTTTCTTTTCTTTTCTTTTCTTTTTTAAACAAATTGTCCTGGAAAACTGGCTCTCTACGTGCAAGAGAATGAAGTTGAACTCTTACTGTACACCATTTATAAAAATAAACTCCAATTCAGGAATGGTGGCCCATACTTGTAATCTCAGCTCCTTAGGAAGCTGAGGCAAGAGAACAGCAAGTTCAAGGTCAAACTAGGCAACTTAATGACTTAGAGACAACCTGTCTCAAAATGAATAAATAAGGACTGAGGATGCAGCTCAGTGGTAGAGTGCTCCGGGCTTGATTCCCAATACTGCAAAGAAAAGAAAAAGGCTGGGGGGCTGGGGATTTAGCTCAGTGGCACTGCACCTGCCTGGCAAATGCAAGGTCCTGAGTTTGATCCCTGGTACCAGAAAAAAAGGGCTGGGGAATGTAGCTCAAGTGGTGCAGGACTTGCCTAGCTTGCATAAGGCTCTGGGTTAAATTCCCAGTATCACCAAAAAAAATTTTCTTTAAATAAATTCCAAATGGATCAAAGACTTAAATGTAAGTGTTAAAACTATGATATTTTTATAAAACATAATTGTAAATCTATTATACTTTGGATAATAGATTTCTTAGATATGACACCAAAAACACAAGTAACAGCAACAAAAATAGATAACCTAGACATTAGTAAAATTAAACACATTTGTGCTTCACTGGATACCATGAAAAAAATAAAAAGATAAACTGCTTAATGAGAAGACATGTTTGCAAATCATGTATGTGATAATGGGCTTGTATCTAGAATATATAAAGAATGCTTACAGCTTAGTGATAAAGAGAACTAAATTTAAAGATGGGGAAATGATCTAAATAGATGTTTCTCCAAAGATAGGCTGTTATAGTTTATATCTAGAGATGTCCCCACACAGCCTCATGCGCTCATAGGTGGGGCTTTTGGGAGTGGCTAGATCATGGGTGTGTGGTACTGGATTAGTCTACTAATTGGTTTAGCACAGTTGTGGATGCTGATGATTGATTTAGTGAAGAGGGAAGCCTCACCTTGGTTGTGGGTGGCACCAACCAATAGGTTTGTAGCCTAGATGGAATAAAATGGGAAAGATAGAAGGCTTGCTGCCTTCTCCCTGCCTTGTCATGAACTGTTTCTCCTGTGCTATGCCCGCTGCCATGCCACCCTGCCTTAGAACCAGCCAAGTATGGCCTGAAACCTCTACAACTGTGAGCTAAAATAAATCTTTCCTCCTTATCTTATAGGTGTTGGGTATTTTGTCCCAGCAATGAGAAAGTAACTAAGACACATGCAAATGGCTGACAGCACATGAAGAGATTCTGAACATCATTAACCACTGGAGGAATACAAATGGAAGCCACAGTGTGATACCATGCCGTATTTGTCAGGCTAGCTATAATAGTAGGTGTTGACAAGGATGTGGAAAAATGGAACTGTCACACATTGTTGGTGGGAATGTTTTCTACTTTGGAAAACAATTTGGCAGTTCTTCAAAAAATTAAACCTGTGAGTTAAAATATGACCCAGTAATTTCAGACCTAGGTGTATACCCCACAGAAATGAAAATATCCACAAAAAATTTACATGTGTACAGAATGTTGTGGTAGCATCATTCATTAAGTAGAAACAACCCAGATGTCCATCAATGATGAACTAATACAGAAAATGTGTCATAGGCACTCAGTGGAATATTAGTTGGAAATAAAAAGGAGTAAAGTACTGATGTGTGCTTCAGTATGGATGAACCTTGACATATTGTGCTAAGGAAAAGAAGCCAATCACAGAAGACCGCATACCATCCTCTAATTCTGTTACTATGAAAGGCCTAAAGGCAAATCTATAGAGACAGAAAGTAGACTCAAGGTGGCTGCCCAGAGCTGGGAGGATGGGTTGTAGGGAAGTGGGAGGGATTGCTAATAGCTACCAGGTGTCTTTTTGGGTGATGAAAACATTCTCAAATTGATTGTGATGATGGCTACACAAGTCCGCATGCACTAAGAACCACTGAGTTGTACACCTTGTATCGTGGAATGGTATGGAATGTGAATTATTATAAAGATGAAAATTAGACAAGAGGGAGCTAGCCTGAAAACATCCAACCCTCCCTCCCATGGCCACGTGTTGGGGGCACTGGGCCAGAACTTGGGGGTGCTGGCTTTGGGAGTGCTGGGAGGTGTGAGAGTGCAGGACATGGGACCAAGGGTTTGGACTCTGCTTCTGGGAGCACAGGGTGCATGGACAGTGAGAGGGAGGTGCAGGGCGGTGGAGGGATGCAGGGGAGGGGACCTGGGGACGGGCAGGGCAGTGGGAATGTAGGAGGTGAGCAGATACCCGCCTCCAAGGGGCTTGGGGAAGTGGGGACACACTGACCCCACCCCGGGCTCTATCGCCAGGGGGCATAGGCAAACTGTGGTAGGTGGGAGACGCAGGGCCACCATCTGGGGTGGTGTCTTCGTTGTTTCCCCAGGGAGCAGAGTGTGGAAGTGCGGCCACCCAGCGTCTCTTCCAGCTGGCCCTGCCACAGCCACTTTGAGGGTGCCACAGAGGGTGTGGGGTGGAGTAGGGGAGTGGACCCAGGACTCAGGGCTTCCCTGAGGTTCTGGTCTTGGAGAGGGGCTCCTGGTCGCCCCAGAGCGCCTCTGGCATCACTGTGTTTTGCCCAGACTGCTGATCGCCCTCGTCCAAGGCCAGGGGGTCGAGCGTGGCCAGCAGCCCATTGTGGCGCAGTGCGGGGAGCGACCTTGAAGCGGCCCACGGCTTTCACCATGGTGGCCCAGGGCAGCCTGCGGGGCCAGTGGTCCCTGGTGGGGACCACGAGCATCCCCTTTGGGTCCTCGCCCGAGGTTTTCAGGGAGTCCGGTGGGGAGGCCATCTCGGATCCCAAACCGCCGGTGGCCGCCCCAGGCCTGGAGCTGGACGGTGGCAACCGCACCCCTGTGCCCTGCGCCAGCCCTTCACATCCACGGGCCTCCGGGCCGGGAAATGAAGGCTCCCACGCGGACCACAGCTGACCCTAAAAAACGGGGTCGAGTCCTAGGAACCGGAGGAAGGAGACTGAGCGTGTGAAACCAGAGACCCCACCCCTTGTGTCGTCCTTCTGGGTCACCCCAGCTCCCTGTCATAGGGCGATTTCTGTGTCCTTCGCCTCTGTAGGAGCTGCTGGCCAGCCCTCTTTTCTGTCAATCAATAGAGAAACAATCAATAAGAACTGCAAGGGCCCCTGAGAAATACATGTAACTGGTTGGGGTGGGGTCACACAGTCCATAAGATTGTAAGGGAAAGATCTGTCACTGAATCAATGACAGTAGGGGAGAGCAAAATGCTGCCTCATCTGTTGAAGGCCCATGGCTAGGAAATAAGACTGGGTGGAATTATTCCAGAATACAAGGTTTGCCATCTCTGGGTGGTAAAACTAAAACTGATTTTCTTCCTTTCTTCCACTTTAAAATGATTCTGATCTATGAGGTTTCTTTCATAATTTAAAAACCTCCACTTGGCTAGGGGTGGATGCCAGGGCCCTACTCGTACTGGCAAGTGCTCTACCCTGAGCTGCCCTTCAGCCCTGCACTTTGATCTTTGAAAAGGTTTCTCTTCCGTGCACATGAGGTGGCCTCACAGCAGGGATGCAAGGTCTACAGAGCAAGGACCCTGGCTCTGGGGCACATTCTCTCCCTAGGCCTCTCTGCCTACCTCAGACACGGGAGTGACATTTCTGAGAGGATGTGGCCTCCAGCCTGGACCCTGGGTCTGTGTTGCCCAAGGGGCTCTGGCCACCTGAGTTCGGGGAGCTTCACTCCCAAGGCACAGTGGGTGGGAAGCAGCCACTTCCCTCTCCATGCACATCCTTTAATGAGTCCAAACCATTCTTACTAAACTCAGCTGTCTTCATAATGAAATCAGAGGATAGTCTTTACTTTTAATTTCTTATAAAACTTCCAGGAAATTAAAAGAATCAAGAAGAAAATAGAAAAATGCCACTTTAATTAAACTGTTCAGTCTGAATTTTTCCCTCTGACACTAACTGAAATTAAAAATAGAAATCAATTTCTGCAAATTTTCAAAGCAGCCTTTGAAATGTCAAGGTTTCAAAAAATTATTTTACAGCAGGAATTTACATATAAATACAATCTGTACAATGTATTAACTGAACAATCAGCAAGCTTCTATCACAGAGGAGATCTGATACTGAGACAGGCTGGGCAGGATTCAATCACTGCCTCTTTAGTGGGAGACATTTCAGCCTGAAAAAGAAAACAGAAATGAGAGAAGGTAAGTTACATATGAACTGAAAAGCTAAACAGGACTGAGGCTGTTGCTCAGTGGCAGAGCCCTTCTAGGTTGGATTCCCAGCAGTGAAGAGAGGGAAAAAAAATCCAAAAGCTCCTTAAGGGCTGAGAATGCCATATCTTACCCTGGGTCACAGTGGAAAGTTTGCACCTAGAAAATACTGCACACAAGGAAGCCTGACTTAATCTGAATCATCAGCTGCTTCTTCTCTTACCCCTAACACACACAGAGACATAACCCTCCCATCTTATATTAGAACCCCTGTATAAGAACACCTTCTAATCCCAGTGTCACTCCCCCATCTCATCCATTTATGACCTTTGGGAAGGAATTAAAACATGTTTGCTCCAGGGTTGTCAGGTTTACATCTCAGTTTTATACATATAAGAATTCATGGCACCTGTCCTCAGAGTAGAGCTGATTCACCCTGTCCTTGATCTTTGTTCTGCACAGAAATCCAAACATCCATGATGACAGAGTAGCTGGATACACTGTAGTATATTCACATAAAGGAACACTCTGAAGCACTGAGATTGACCCAGGTACTGCCACCCAGGAATCTCCCAAACTAGGTGCAAAAGAGACTATACAACAAAATTTCTTTAAATAAAGTTTAAAACTACTAAGAGTAATCAGTGGTGATAGAAGCCAGAGGAATGGTTACCTTTGGCAAGCAGGGAAAAGATGGTAAGTGGGAGGAGATACGAGGGGGCTTCCTCCTCGATTCATGTGCTTTTGCCTATGTATACTCAGAAATGTGTGGAGCCTTGGACTTACGCTGTTTGCACATTCACATATGTGTGTGCAATAAACAGCTGACTTAACTGTATGATTCCATTTCTATGGTATCCCAGAACATGTAAAACTAGCTTATAGCAAGTGACAGGAAACAGATCACAGTCTCCTGGGACAAGTGGGGGTAGACTGCAACTCCAACAAGAACCAGGCTGCACTGCCACTGAAGAAAAGTATCAGGGGGCCTTGCCAAGAGTGAGGCCCCATGCCAGTGCTAGGGATGCAGACACACATAGTTGTAACCCCAAATGTGACAACTATGCAGACAGTCCAGGCACAGAGTGGAGGGGGCACTCTTTCAATGATAGCCCCTCACCCCGAGATCCTTGGGGAGAGCCTGAGGGCCTTGGTAAGAGGCCATGAGAATTGTACCTCTAGCAACCAAACAGTGATATTTCTTTTCACCTCTGACCCTCTCTTCCAGCCCTTCCTCAGAGACAAGTGCTCTTGAGTGTGTGGTAAGAATCCTTCCAGCTTCCTTCCTGTTCAAAAAGGTACATGCTATGTATGGTTTGAATAAATGCCCTCAAAGGCCTGTGTGTTAAAGGCTTAGTCCCCCAGCATAGTGCTATTATTGGGAGGCGATAGAACCTTTAAGAGGTGGGGCTTAGTGGCAGGTCTTTAGGTCACAGAGAGTGTGCCCTTGAAGGGAACAATGGGACCCAGCCTCTTCCTCTTGCTTCTTTTTACTTGCTGGCCACGAGGTAAGCAGTTTTGTTCTACCTTATCTTCCTGGCATGATGTGCTGCCTCACCACAGGCCTAAGACAACACAACCAACTGACCATGGACTGTATGCTTTAAAATCATAGGCCAAAGTAAACTTTCTCTCTTTATAAGTTGATTATCCCAGATATTTGTTATAGTAATGGAAAGCTGACTAACAGAGCACACACATGTGTATTTAGAGAAATCCATGCTTGTATCCTTTGTATTTTTGGACCAAAAGAACACATTGTTCATTTTAAAGAAATGAATGAAAAAGAACAAAAAGTTGATGTTTATCTTTCCAGAAAGCAATACTCTAAGGACACAATAATTAAAGCAGGGGGGAGAGAAGTACAAAATGGCTAAGGAATAAGAATAGAGAATACACATGGGGATAGGTATTTAGAAGATGATCAAGTTACACTGGCCCTAATGAAACACAGCACTGAGTGGGCTGAGGTGGCCAGGGATCACCTCTGTTGTTTCCCTCTTCATCTTAGCTGCACTTCCCAGTCCTGGGGTGGCCAGGTGGGTCACACATCTGCTGTGGCCCATGAACTGCGGCTGGAGGTGCCACTTCCAACCTTCATGACCACCTCCAACCCATCCACCTTCTATGAAGACCATGTGCTGAAGTGGGAGAAAACTGGGGTCCTTGATTATATTCATGCTTCCCTGTACTAAGCCACTGCCAGTAGGGCCCTCTTTTCAATTGCAACTAGCTTACTCACTCTGACTAATGCAATTTGCTATCCATTTGGAGAAAAATAACTTTGGTGCCTACCTTACTCTGTTCCCAAGAAAACAAAATGATCCAAATGGATTAAAACAGAAACAAAACTATAAAAGCATTAGGGTAATGTGTGTATATGTGTGGAGACAGCGTGTGTGTGTGTGTGTGTGTGTTTGTGTGTGTGAGATATATATAAAGTTGAGGAAGGCTTTTTTTTCCTCTCCCAGTACTGGGGAGTGAGCCCAGGACCTTTGCCCTGAACCACATCCCCAGCCCATTTATTATTATTATTATTATATATTTTTTAATGGTAGGGATTCTGGATACAATTGCTATAGGTACTTTTATCTTATTTTTTTATGTTTTTGCTACATGGATCAAACTTGGAACTTTGCACTTGTGAGGCAGGTGGCGGAACCACTGAGCTAAATCCCTCCATTTATTATTATTATTATTATTATTATTATTATTATTATTATTATTATTATTTTGAGATAGGGTCTCACTAAGTTGCTAAGTTGCCCAGGGTGGGCTTAAACTTGGTTTCCTTCTGCCTCAGCCTCCCATAATGCTGGGATTACAGGGTATGCCAACACACCTAGCTAAGGAAGACTTTTAAAAAAGGTAAAATTGTAGCCAGGCATGGTGATGGATGCCTGTAATAATGTAATTAGTAATAATGACAAAGTAGTTGAGGGCAGGGGAGAAGCTCAGCGGTAGAGTGCTTGGTTAGTAAGGCTCAAGGTTCCATCTCTAGTACTGTCTATAAAAAGTGACCAGGCATAGTTGTACACACCTGTAATCCCTGCACTCTAGGAGGTTGAGGAAGGAAGGTCACAAGTCAAGTCTGGCCCAGTCAATTTGGTGATGTAGTGACACTCTGTCTCAAAATGAAAAATACAAAAGGGGCTAGGGATACAGGTCAGGGAGAAGGCCCCGGTTCAATCCCCAGTACTGGAAAAATAAGTAGTTGAGAAGTGCTCAAGATATCTTCATTTAATAGAGGAAAAATAATCAATAAATACTATTTTTATGGGGTATCGGGGATTGAACTTGGGTCCTTGAGCTTGCGGGGCAGGCGGTGGAACCACTGAGCTAAATCCTCAGCCCTGATAAATAGTTTTATTATTTAATACACAAACTTTATACTTAAATGCCCTTTTTCCTACTTTTTGATCTTCACCAAAAAATTTGTTTTAAAGTACAGCTAAATAAATAAAAATATGCTGCTTTAAAAGAAAAACA